CCCTCCCCCATTTCTGAAGAAGGGTCTAGGCCCGAAATGTCAGCCTTCCTGCTCCTCTGATGCTGCTTGGCCTGCTGTGTTCATCCAGCTCTACACCTTGTTATCTCAGATTCTCCAGCATCTGCAGTTCCGACTATCTCCTCTTAAAGTGATATTACCACTAATGAGCTCCTGTTAAAGTAACAGTGTCATTAGCACCGGCTCTTTCAAAAATCAGGAATACAGGGTCTTTCTTTAAATAATTGTTAGTAATTCAAGTTCCTCTTAAAGTGACATTACTGATAATAGAATCCTCTTGAAATCATTAGTCAGTAAGAGACTCTTTTTAGTGACAGTACCAGTAACAGATGCTTCTTAAAGTGACAATGTCAGCAACACAAATTTCTCTTAAAGTGACATAACTGGTGACTTCATGAAGGAGAACCTCTGGCTTTTGCCTGGCAGTTTTGTGGAGGTGACTGTGGTTTATAAAAAGGACTTGGATAACTTTTTGAAAATAAAACATTTAATTAGTTTCTTGTAACAGTCACCTACATCATCTACCTGGGGGAACTAACTTCCCTAATTCACTTAGAATTGCACTTGGAAAGTTCTAGCTGCTTAGATTTTGGCATCCAGAATATCTCTGCATTTAAAAATTCGCTCAATTCTACCCTCATCTCTACCTGAAACCTTATTAAAACCATTACACTCTGTCACTGGCCAGTCTAGTCCCTTGACCCCAGTCCAGCCCTAATCCCTTCTCTAAGTGATGAAGATTTGAAAGGATATAATGGATGACTGGCTTAGCCCATGTTCCCATCAGACGTGTCTGGATGAACTAAAACATTATTGGTTCTAGCTCTCATTTGCTAAAATTTGCTCAATTGATAAGCCCTAGACTTTGCCTAGGAGTACTGGAAGTGGATATAATTGTTATATACCTCTCTGCCTCTATTCCCTCTTGAAGATGCCACTTGAAACCTACCTCTTTGACCAAGATTTTTGTGATGTGTTCAAATTTTGCTTTAGAAGGTACATGTGAAGTGTCTTTAATCATTTTGATATGTTAAACATGCTTCAAAGTTATTGTCACACAGGGTGATTTTGCAATCTTTAATGCTGTCTCTGAAACAGTGGTTGAAATAGATTTAATAGTAACTTCCAACAGAAGCTTTAACAATTAGAATCATAAAATCCCTACAGTACAGACAAGGCCCTTCAGTCCATTGAGTCTGCAAAGACACTCCAAAGAGCATCCCACCCATACCCACTCCCTACCCTATCCCTGTCACCCTCCATTTCCCATGGCTAATCCACCTGGCTTGCATATCCCTGGAGTATGGGAATTTAGCCTGGTCAATCCACTTACCCTGCACATCTTTGGACTGCGGGAGGAAATCAGAGCACCCGAAGGAAATCCATGCAGACATGGGGAGAATGTGCAAACTTCACACAGACAGTCGCCTGAGGCTGGAATTGAACTTGTATCCCTGGTGCTCCAATCTCCTCGATCCAAGTAGGAAATTTGTTGATGGGTGATATAGACAGATTCAGGGAATGGAACTGATTCGAAAACTCTTTAAGGAGTTGATGCAGTATGTTGGGCTGAATGGCCTCACGAGACCGTAAGAAATAACTACAGAAAAAGGCTGTTCGGCCCCTCCAGCCCGCAACTAGTTTATAATGACCTCACAAATTCTACGATTCTACGGGACTGCTTGGAGTCGGTGTGCTGGTCCATATTCAACAACTCAGCAGCCAACCTAAACAAGTATGCCACTACTGTTCCAGGCTTCATCAGTAAGTGTGTAATGTTAGGGACCAGACCAAACACCCTCAATATATATTCAGAAAATAGTCAAGAACCTAACTTTTACTTATTTTAAAGGTAAATGGGAGGTGTTGCATTCCAGATGCAATTCGATTGGCCAAACTACTCGATGTTAAGCAAAACTTTAAGCACTACTTTTACGCTACAGTTAAAATACAGACAAAATGAAAATAAAAAAGAATTGGCTTAACTGTAACTCAATCAAAATGCTTAACAAAATAGTAGATGTATTAACTGCGACTAATTAGTGGTTTCAATACAGTAAACAATCTCCTAAACACACCCCTGGCAAAGGCAAATTCAAAAAAATAGATTGACTCACATGCAAGTCTCCAGTCCAGGAGGAAAAACATCAAGAGAAAACTCTGAGAGAGAGAGAGAGTAACAGGGAGAGATGTATTGCAGCTTCCAAATCCAGCTTCATGACCCCAGAAACAAGTGCTACTGAAAACCTAAAACTAAAAATCCTGGTTGTGTGGGAGTTTTACCCCACCCATTCAGGCTGCGTCTATTATTCCAACTTAAAAAAAAAGCCCAAAGTCTCACAAGCTCTTTACTTTATGGGCTTTCAACAGACAGCTTAACACCTTTGAGTTAAAACCTTTCTTTAAAACAAAGGGACAAAATGCAACTCATAAAGCCATAGTATAATCACAGTAGAAGACTGCATTGCTAAAGAAGTTAATTTGAGTGTGCCCCAATCGGAAACCATGGATGAACTGGGAGATCCACTCCATACTGAACTCCAGGTCGAAGGTGTTCAAGTTGGGTGACTCTGACCTATACGGGCAATCTAGATATGATCTTTGCAAAGCCATCCTGCATGCTAAGAGGCAAAACCAAACTAAGTTAGAGATGTAGACTATACACAAGGACACCTACCATTTGTGGCAAGGCTTCCACAACATAACAGGCTAAAAAGCAAAGTCGAATAGAATCGCAGGCAATAGTATATCCCTACCTGATGAGCTCAATGCATTCTACGCTTGCTTTGAACAGAAGGGCAGTGAAATGATATCACTTGATCCATCAGCCTGAGATGCAACTGTCCCCACAGTCACCACTGTAGACGTTAGATCAGCCTTCTTGAGAGTTAACCCAGGGAAAGCAATTGGCCTGGATGGAGTTAAGAAGGAGATAGAGTGCTTAGTGGCCTGGTGTAAAGACAACAATCTCTCCATCAACATCAGCAAAACAATGGAGCTAGTCATTGACTTCAGAAAACGGAGTGGAGCATACGCCCCTGTCTATATCAATGGTGCTGAGGTGGAGACGGTTGAGAGTATCAAGTTCCTGGGAGTGATGGTCACCAACAATTTGTCCTGGTCCACCCACGTTGACACTACGGTCAAGAAAACACAAAAACACCTCTACATAGACTTCAGTAAGGCTTTTGACAAGGTTCCATTTGGACTGGTTAACAAGGTTAGATCACACAGAATACAGGGAGAACTAGCCACTTGGATACATAACTGGCTAGAAGGTAGGAGTCAGAGGGTGATGTGGAGGGTTACTTTTCAGACTGGAGGCCTGTGACCAGCAGTGTGCGGCAAGGATCAGTGCTGGGTCCACTGTTGTTTGTCATTTATATACATGATTTGGATGTGAATATGGGAGGTTTGGTTAGTAACTTTGCAGATGACCCTAAAATTGGAGGTGTAGTGGACAGCGAAGAACATTATCTCAGAATACAACGGGATCTTGAAAAGATGAGCCGAGGAGTGGCAGTTAGAGTTTAATTTAGATAAATGTGAGGTGCTGCATTTTGGTAAGGCAAATCAGGGCAGGACATATGCACAAAGAGACCTTGGAGTGCAGGTTCATAGTTCCTTAAAAGTGGAGTTGCAGGTAGACAGGATAGTGAAGGAGGTGTTTGGTATGCTTGCCTTGATTGGTCAGTGCACTGAGTATAGGAGTTGCATTCAAGTCTGGTCTCCCTGCTATAGGAAAGATGTTGTGAAACTTGAAAGAGTTCAGAGAAGATTTACAAGGATGTTGCCAGGGTGAAGGGCTTGAGCTAGAGGGAAAGGCTGAAGTAGGCTGGAACTTTATTTCCTGGAGCGTCAGAGGCTAAGGGGTGACCTTATAGAAGTTTATAAAATCATGAGGAGCATGGATAGGGTGAAAAACTAAGATCTTTTCCCCTGGGTAGGGGAGTCTAAAACAAGAGGGCATAAGTTTAAGGTGATAGGGGAAAGATTTAAAAGGGACCCAAGGGGTAACTTTTTCACGCAGAGGGTGGTGCATATATGGAATGAACTACCAGAGGAAGTGGTGAAGCCTGATACAGTTATAACATTTAAAAGGCATCTGGAAGGTTATATGAATAGGAATGGTTTAGAGGGATATGGGCCAAATGCTGGCAAATGGGACTAGATTAATTTGGGATATCTGGTCAGCATGGAGGAGTTGGATTGAAAGGTCTGTTTCTGCGCTGTACAGCTGTATGACTCTACTCTCTCAGGGGTGTAAGGAAATTCAGCATGTCCATAAAGACATTCACCATTTTTATAGATGCACCAGTAGAAAGCAGCTTGTCCAGATGCATCACAGTGTGGTTTGGCAACTGCTCTTCCCAAGACCGCAAGTACCTACTTAGAATTGTGAAAACAGCCTAGTCCATCACGAAAACCAGCCTTCCATCCATTGACTTCATCTTCTGCTGCACTGGGAAAGCAATCAACATAATCAAAGTTCCCTCCCACCATGGTTATATGCTCTTCCACACTCCAGTTGGACAGAAAATATAAAAGTTTGAATACATGTACCAACACATTGAAGAACAGCTGCTTCCCTGCTGTTAAGAGACTTTTGAATGGACCTTTTAAATGTTAACGTTGATCTTTCTCTCTTTGCAGCTGTAACACTGTATTTTGAATTCTGTTTTATTCCTCTGATGCCCCAGTACCGTATAATCTGTTTGTATAGCACCCAAAACAATACTTTTCACTGTGTTTCGGTCCGTGTGACAATAATGAATCAAATCAAATGAAAGGTTCTTTTTGATCATATGTTATTTCTTTGAGGCGGGGGCAAAACGTTTTTTAAATTAGAAATGATTGATAATCATGGACAGATTTCTGACAATCCGCTTCCACAGGAGTGCCCCTTTAATGCACCCGCTTTTGCTGTGGTCCCTTTAAGAACATGTTCACCTTCCGGTCCCAAGGCTGAGGTCGCGAGGCGGACCCGGAATCCGGC